ATGCACACACATATACTTGCCCAATCCCCCAGCACACCAAAACGACGGATTGGGGGGCATCCTCCTCATCATTGCCTTTGCTCCTCGTCCTCTTCCTGTTCTCTCCGCGCTTCTCTCCTCCTCATCTCTCGTCCTTCTCCCTCCTCCTATCTCCTCCTCCTCCTCCCTCCTCCTGTCTCCTCATCCGCCTCATCAGTATCCTCCTCTTCCTATTCCACCTCCTCATCCTCCTTCCGCTCCCATCATCATTCATCCTTCTCCTTCTTCTCATCTCCTCATCTTCCTCATCTTCGATGCTTTCCACTTATTTCTGCTGTCGTCATCCCCCTCTTCTGAGGAATCCCCTGGATCTGGGATCTGCTCCTTTTCTACTGACAGCATGTGAGAACTCTATTCCAATTCGATGGGAATATTCTGGATAAGAGATCTGTTCCGTTTCTGTTGAAATCAAATGAGAGTCCGATCCAATTGAAATTGGATTCCTCTGGATATGGGATCTGATTTTTCCTACTGAGATCCTATCAGAAACTTGATCAAAAGCAGTAGGATGTTTTTGGATCTGGGATCGGCTCCGATTCTATTGAAATTCGATCAGACTCCCTACGGGGCCACGAAACGTGTGATGGGTGTGCCGAAACAGAAACATGCGGAGTGCGAAGAGCAGCGGCAAGGATGGGAGGAGGGGGAGGAGGATGCGGGGCGCTCTCTTCAGAATGAGGACCCAACACCACAGGATGGTTTGGAAAAAGGGTGCCCGATGTCATCGGGGCGGGCCCCAAGGGGGGCGTATCTGTCTATTACGTATGTATATATATATATGTACATACATACATAATGAACCCGGCGTGACCCCAATTAGGGGAAAGCTTCCTATTGCATGGGCGTAGTGCTTGGCATGACTTTGCATTGCTTGGCATTGCTTGGTATTGCTTGGCATTGCTTGGCATTGCCTGGCATGAGATATAAGGGGCACCAGGGGCGGGGAACCCGGGGAACCCGAAGAACCTCCGAGGAACGGGCAATGTAACAATAGGAGGCACCGGGGACGGGCAACGAACCCTTGCTTGGCATTGCTGGGCATTGCTGGGCATTGCTTGGCATTGCTTGGCATTGCTTGGCATAAGGCACCAGAGGCACTGGGGGCGGGGAACCCGAGGAACCCGGGGAACCTGGTAACAATAGGAGGCACCAGGGGCAGGGAACCCGGGAACCCTTCCTTGCCATTGCTTGGTATTGCTTCGCATTGCTTCACACTGCTTGGCAGCGGGGAACCCAGGGAACCCGGGGAACCTCCGAGAAACGGGCAAATTCGCTGGCCCAACGGGCCAGAGGCGTGCTAAGATCTCCGGTATCTGGTTAACAATAACTGTACACTTCGCGCGCGCGGAGCGGCCCCTGGGGGTCCCCAGCCGGAAAGTACCCCGGCAAGGTCCCAGGACACTCCAAGCAAACTCAGTTCAGAGATGGTTTTCCTCCTGGGTGCGGCCTTCCACGCTCCCCGGAGCGCGCCAAGAGGGCCCCAACAGGCTTCCAAGACGGTCCAAGAGGGTTCCGAATCACCGAACGATCTGCCCAAGACGCCCAACACGGCCTCAAGACGGCCCAAGAAGCTTCCAAGACGTCCCAAGAGAGCCCCGACCCTTTCCAAGAGAGCCCCAAGAGGCCAAAATCATTGATTTCTATTGGGTTTTTCAAGGTTTTGGCTTCCTCGCCTTTTCGCGTTTCCGACGCTCCAAGACAGCCCAAACAGCCTCCAAGACCACCCCAAGACGGCCCAAGAGGCCTCCAAGAGAGCCCCAAGACCGCCCAAGAGAGCCCCACGACAGCCCAAGAGGCGCCCAAGACGGTCCAAAAGGACCCCAAGAGGGCCCCAAGAGGGGCCCAACATGGAGACCACGAACCGAGAATCCGAGCCTTCCGCTCCAAGAGGCCTCCTGGAGGCTCCAAGAGGCCCCCAAGAGGCCCCAAAAGGCGACAAGGGGCCCGAAAGAGACCCCAAGAGGCTCGACAACGACTCCCGAGAGTCTCCAAGAAGCCCTCGAGAGGCATCCAACGAGATCCCAATGAACGTCCACGAAGCCTCAGAGCGCCAAAACCATTGATTTCCATTGGGTTTTTCAAGGTTTTTGGCTTCCTCGCCTTTTCGCCTTTCCGACGCTCCAAGACGGCCCAAGAAGCTTCCAAGACCACCCCAAGACGGCCCAAGAGGCCTCCAAGAGAGCCCCACGACCGCCCAAGAGAGCCCCAAGACCGCCCAAGAGGCGCCCAAGACGGTCCAGAAGGACCCCAAGAGGGCCCCAAGAGAGACCCAAGATGGAGACCACGAACCGAAAATCCGAGCCTTCCGCTCCAAGAGGCCTCCTGGACGCCCCAATAGGCTCCTAAGGGGCCCCAACAAGCGACAAGGGGTCCGAACAATGCAAAAAGGAAACTGCAGAATGTTGTATTGTTCCCTGCGATCGTATTCACGAGCCGCCACCTTCCGAAACAGAAGGTTCAGGCGGGCAAAGAATGGCTCCCGCCTGCGAAATCACCCAAAGCCAGCCATCCATAAACAAAAAAACGAGCCAGCAGCACCCCATTGACAACGATCACACGGGCACTCGACAGCCGTGCACCAATACGGACTGGCGGAATGAGCGAAGCGATCAAATAACAAGAGGAGGCACCAGGGGCGGAGAACCTGGGGAACCCGGGGAGCCTCCGAGCAACGGGCAATGTAACAGTGGCAGGCACCAACCTTGAACCAAGTAAGAACCCCCCCAGGCAAGGCGAATAGGGGAAATGAAAAAAGCGAGGAAAAGAGAGAGAGAGAGAGAGAAAAACAACAAAAAAGAAGAGAGAGAGAGAGAGAGAGAGAGAAACGCAGATACGTACATAGATGGCGAGTTCCAGAAATCCTGAACCCCAAAAAACGGCATCCCTTGGAAGGCAAATTCTTAGCTCCCCAGGCTTCCACCGTGAAGGGGCCCCAGAACACACAAATGAATACACACAAATAAAAATAGTCCGCTTATTTTCCCATATTTCCTGGGTTTTGTCTTCCCCTCCACTTCCCATAGTTTCCATATTTTCCTGGGAATCGACGATTGGTTGTGCCTGTGTGTGTGTTTTCCCCTCCTGACACTGGCCTTCTGCTGGCAGACCGCCCTCGCTGTGCTGCCGCCGGCTTCCGCCGCCCCGACGCTGCCTTCCGCCGTGAAAGACGTGCCAAATCCTCGGTGCCTCGAAGACGAGGCCCTTTTCCCGAATGCCGCATGCACATACACACGAACAAACAAGCAAGCAAGCAAGCAAGCAAGCAAGCAAGCACGCATGCATGCATACATACATGCATACATGCATACATGCATACATGCATACATACATGTATGCATACATACATACATACATAATTACATATACCTATACCTATACATATACATGCATATATACATATACCTATGCCTATACATATACCTATACGTATACCTATACCTATACCTACACCTATACATATACCTAAACATATGCATATACATTTACACATACTTATACATATACAAATACACATACGTATACGTATACATATACATGTACATACACATATACATATACATATACATATACATATACATATGCATCTACATATACATATGCATGTATAGATACATATACATCTGCATCTACATCTACATGTACATCTACATCTACATCTACATACATACATGCATACATACATACATGCAAGCATGCATGCATACATGCATGCATACATATATACATGCATAGATGTATAATATATATATGTATATACATACATGCATAAACACATACATACCTACCCACATACATACATACATACATACATACATACATACATACACACACATACATACATACATACATACATACATACATACATACATACATACATACATACATACATACATACATACATACACACATACATGCATACATGCATGCATGCATACAGACAGACAGACAGACAGACAGACACACAGACACACACACACACACACACACCGATCCTGTGCCCAGGACCGCCCTTGCCACGACCGGTGCAGGTGTCACGCAGCCATGCCACGCCAAGCGTGCCGTTGCACATGCCCTGGCGATTCCGACGCAGGTTGGATGGAGCCCCAAGCTAGCTTCGCAGAGGCAGCGTCTGACTCTGTGAGATATCGCCCAAGAGGAAGCTGCCAAGAGCAGGTGTGGAGTTGACGCCCTTCGAGCACTCGACCGCCGCCGCCGCCGCCGCCGTCGTCATCCCCCTTCAGGGTCGGCGGCACTGGCCGTCAGGCCATCGCAATATCGCCCAAGGGGAAACTGCCGAGAACGGGCGCGTAGCCGACGCCCTCCGAGCACCCGGGGCGTGCGCTGCGCACCGCGCGCGCCCTGCACCCAGCCTCGGCGCGCGCCCGAGGGCCTCGAGGAGCCAGGGAGGGTAGGGCAAGAAGCGAGGCACTCCGAGGCAGGGCACGGCCATGCAAGAATGTCCTCACCCTCCCCCTCGCCCTCCTCCTCGCCCTCGCCCTCCTCCTCGCCCTCGCCCCCTCCCTCGCCAGTCCCCTCCCTGATTCCCGCCGTGGCCTCCCTCCCCCCCGCTCACTCTGGAGCCCAGGTGGGGTCGGAGTAGATGGAGCCGGAGAATCGCGACGCACTCGGGCTCCAGACTGCGCCGCATCGCCGATGCATCGGCGGCGCGGCGCGGTTCTTCGACCCCGTCTACTCGTGGATGAAGTGCCCATGCATCGCCGACGCCTCCGATACTCGGCCGATAAATCGCCGATGCATCGACGACGCGGCGCGATCGTCCGCGCCACACAGCACCCCTTGGGAGGCCTGGACTCTCTCACACACTCTCTCTCTCTCTCTCTCTCTGCGTCCTCCTCCCGTCCTTCCCCTCATCTCTCACATCCCGCCCTCCTTTTTCCCCCTCGAGGAGGACGGCGCTGGAGCAGAACGGCGGAAGGACGCTGGTGCGCATTGGGGCCGGCCTCGTCCAGCACCAGCTTGTGGCAGCCGTTCAGCCGGACCTCGTCATCGGCATCGTCAGCATCGTCGTTGTCCTCGTTATCACCATCAGCATCGTCGTTACCGGCAATTTCGTCGTCGTAGTCGTCGTCGTCATCGCCAAGATCACTACAAACATCACCAGCATCACAACTTACCAAAGCACCACCATCATTATCAGCATAATCGTCACCTGCCTCAGCATCATTATCATCATAATCCTCGTCCTCTCCTCATCCTCCTCCTCCTCCTTCTCCTCCTCCTCCTCTTCCTCCTGTTCCTCCCCCTTCTCCCCCTCCTCCTTCTCCTCCTCCTCCTCCACCTCCTCATCATCGTCATCAACCAATCAATCAATCAATAAATCAATCAATCAAACAATCCATCATCATCATCAGCATCATCAGCAGCAGCAGCATCACCATCACCATCACCATCATCATCATCAGCAGCAGCATCATCATCACCATCATCGTCATCGTGATCGTCATCGGCATAGTCGTCGTCGTCGAACCTACTGGGGCTGACTACAGAACTGAAAATGATACAGCTCGTGCTGGATTGGGCAATACAAAGATCCCAGTACAACTGGCTACAGCTCAGCTCTTCTTTACTCGTACTACAGTTGGCCTCCGTCTCATTATAATCCGACGAGAGCTGGGTTGCTGCTCTGGTCGGATTCTGCTACGCACGCCAACTGCATGCATTCGACCGCTCTACTTGAATCATACTGACTTTGGCGCCCGCTCTCAATGCGGTCCCGGGAGGCGATGGGACACTTGCTGGAATTATGATAGAGGTGTTAGGGAGATAAAGACATACCAACGGATTGGAGAACTGCACGCGTGGCGCTGCTGTTCAAACAGGAGGGCAGCGGCCTCCCAGGGAACAGCCGGCCGATTTCCCTACTTCCCGTGGGACATAAGATCATCGCGTGGGTGATTCAACATCGACTGCAACAAGGTGGCGCCGAAGGCAGACTGAGACCGACTCAACTCGGGCTTAGATAAAAAATGGGCACCGTGCAGGTGATCTCAATTGCCCGGCGCATGTTCGAGGTGGCACATGCCTCCAAGGCTGGCCTCCGGACTCGTGACGGTTCTGCTGGACTGGGCGAGCGCTCTCGAAAGAATCAAGCACGATGTCGTGCTGCACACACTGCGAAGGTTCGGGATACCCGACTGCATGGTGGATATGATTGCTGGCATCTACCGCGAACGGAACTTCATTATTCAGAACCCCGCTGGGGATTCAAGCGTGCGCCGACAGCATACCAGCGTCGCGCAGGGATGCACACTGTCATCATATCTCTTCATCATAGTTCAAAGCGTTATGCCCTTTCAAATTGATCGATGTGCGCATTGAAGGCGCACCACAGGTCCCACCTGCTTGCCGCCTCGTCTTCCTCCTCCTCCTCATCATCATCATCCTCATCCTCCTCCTCATCCTCATCCTCATCCTGATCCTCATCCTCATCATTATCATCATCATCATCATCATCATCATCAGCATCAGCATCAGCATCAGCATCATCATCAGCATCGTCAACATCATCATCATCATCATCATCATCATCATCATCATCATCCTCATCATCACCACCATCATAATCATAATCAGCATCAGCATCATCATTAGCATCATCATCAGCATCATAACCATAATCATCATCCAAATCATCATCATCGTCGTTATCGTGATCGTAATCATCATCATCATCAGCAGCATCAACACCACCATCAACATCATCATCATCAGCATCGTCATCATTTTTAACATCCTCATCGTCATCACCATTATAATCGTCTTCCTCGCTGTCGTCATCATCATCGTCATCATCATCGCCATCATCATCAGCATCAGCGTCGGCGTTGCAATCATCATCATCATCATCATCATCATCATCATCATCATCGTCGAGGTCATCATCGACATCATCATCAGCAGCACCATCATCATCGCAATCATCATCAGCATCGTCATCATCGTAGTCGTCGTCATCATCGTCGTCCACGTCGACGTCGTCGTCGGCGTCGTCGTGGTCATCATCATTGACATCATCAGCAACAGCTTCAGCATCAGCACCAGCATCAGTATCATCATCAGCGTCAGCATCAGTACCGTCATCATCAGCGTCATCATCATCGCCGTCATCGTCGTCATCATCACCATCGTCGTCATCATCATCACCATCATGACCATCATCACCATCATCATCATCATCATCATCATCATCATCATCACCAGCATCGTCATCATCACCACGACCACCACCACCATCATCACCATTATTATCATCATCATCGTCATCGCCATCGTCACCATCAGCATCGTCATCATCAGCATCATCAACAGCATCAACACCCTCATCAGCGTCATCACCATCATCAACATTAAGGTCGTCCTCGTCATCATCTTCCTCACCACCACCATCATCATCATCGCCGCCCTCGTCATCATCATCATCATCATCATCATCACCATCATCATCATCACCATCATCATCAGCATCGTCATCATCATCATCATCACCATCATCATCGCCATTCCTCCTCTATCCTCCCGCACCTCCGTCCCTCATTCTCCCGACCCCCATCCTGCCCAATCCATCGCCTTCCTCCGCGTCTTCCACGCATCCTGGCCGATCCACCCCCTGCCCTCGTCTCTCCAACCCCCGCCTCCCCCCTCCGGGAGCGCTCTGTACCTCGGTTGGCCTCTCGTTGGGGCTGTCAGGGGAGCTCCCGGGGCCAGCTTTGGGGCGCCTCAGGGCGGTCCCGGGGGCCAGCTGAGATTCTCTTAGGCCGCCTTGGGGCCTCGTTGGGCTGTCCTGGACCCCTCTTGGGCCATCTGAAGCCCCTCGAGGCCGTCGTGGGGTCTCTCAGGGCCCTCTTGGCGCTTCCTTGGCGCCTCCTTAGGCCGTCCTGAGGCCCTCTTGGGCGGGTTCGTGGCCGTCTTGTGGCCGTTTTGGGCAGGATTGGGGCCAGCCCCGGGCTCCCGCGGGGCCCTTTGGAGACGCGTTGCGACGAAGAGGCCCCCAAGACGGTCCAACAGGGCCCCAGGAAGGGCCCAAGAGAGGCCCCAGAGAGGAAACACGAACCGACGTTTCGAACCCTTCGCCCCAAGATGGCCCCCAAGAAGCCCCCCAGAAGACCAGGAGGCTTCCGAGAGGCCCGAATCAGGCCCCAAGAGGCCACCAAGTGAACCCAAGAGGCCCCCAAGAGGACTCCAAGACACCCCAAAACCGAATCCAAGAGGCTTCCCTGAGGCCTCCCAAGAGATCCCCACAGGCATCCCGGAGGCCTCTGACCTACAACCCAGGCAGGGTGGCGGGATGGGCCGAAGGCCACTAGAACTGTGTATGCATGTCTGCATGTATGTATGTATGTATGTATGTATGTACGTCCGTATTTACGCACGTACGTACGTACGTATGTATGTATGCATGTATGTATCAGTGTAACACTGATGATACACATATGCATCTATGTTCCAGAGCTCAGGGCCCACGGGCCCCGCAGATGATGGGATGGGTCCCAGGGCCCCACGCCACCCCCACCCCCATCCCCCCAGATAGGATTTGGGTCGGGCGCTGACCAGCCGTACCTTGGGGGGTAGCGCGGTGACACCGCATACCTGGCAAGATCCGGACGGTCACCAAACGAAAGTTGCTAGGCGCGCGTTGGTCATCAGATTCCAATGCAAAAGCGCGGGCCATGATCACAGGAACAGATGGGGCGTGCACGGGTAGATTGTGTGAAATGACACTTACTACTCTGATCGTGGATCGCCTGAAGCATGTAAACAAATGCACGGGATTGCATCAAGTATGCGGTTGTCCAGCCGCAGTGTTTTGTTCATTTGTCCTTGCCAAGGGGCATCTATTTGTATGCAAGTGCCGGGCCGCCCGCATGAGGGCCCAATCCGCTGAACGTCACCATGGATTGCAAAGAGAAGATGAAGGAAGAAGGAAAAGAAGAACATTCACAAGGAGGCTCAAGGAGGGGGGATGAGAGAGGGCACAAGGGTGGGGGAGGAGAAACGACTATGACGCAGGCAACAATATGCAGCTCGTCGTCGTCCCTCCCCCCATCCTATCATAGGATGGGGGGAGGGACGACGACGAGGACGACGACGACGACAACGACGACGCCGACGACGGCGACAAGGACGACAAAGACAAAGACGACAAAGATTAGAAAGACTATAGAGACGAGGACGACGACGACGACGACGACGACGGCGACAACGACGACGGCACTGCAGCACCACCCCACACCCACAGGGGGAGAGGGGGCACCGCAGCACCACCCCGGGGGGAGGGGCGAACCAATTAGCATGGTGTGGGGTCCTGAAACAAATATACACGTGTATAGCAATACATACATCCATCCATCCATCCGTCCGTCCATCCATCCATCCATCCATCCATCCATCCATCCATCCATCCATCCATCCATCCATCATTACATTACATTAAATCACATCACATCACACCACCTCACATCACATCACATCACATCACATCGCAACACATCACATCACATAACATAACATCACATCACATCACATCGCATCACATCACATCACATTACATTACATTACACTACATTACATTACATTACATCACATGTCATTACATTACATTACATTACAATAAAATTGCACTGCATTACATTACACTGCAGTACAATACATTACATTACATTACATTACATTACAATACATTACATTACATTGCATTACATTACATTGCATTGCATTGCATTACATTACATTACATTACATTACAATAACTTACACTACACTACGTTACATTATATACATACGTACAAATGTATATATACATTGCACGGAAAAAGTTGCAGATCGAAGGTGCGAGACCCCATTGCTGAGGGTCCGCGCTGGCATACACACTTCTGGCTGACGAACAGGAGGCTAAAAATGTGCAAGAGTCATACGGACAGAGGGCGTTTCTTTCTTAGAGCGAGGGCTGCCGCTGGACACGCCCTCAAACTTGTATGTCTTCCCGTATTGTCGCCTTCTTTTGAACTCGAAGAACAGTGGGCAGTTCGTTTTCAACGCAAATCTCCCCCTGATTTGCGGGCCCATTGGACTTTCAAGGGGGCGCTTCGGGCCAGGAAAAACAATTCTTGCGAGGAATTCAGAGACAGGGCCATGGGCCGGGAGGGTGTGTTAGAGCGTCGTTGATGCATAATGGGTTCACTCAGGTCCTCCTCCTCCCCCTCCCCCGTCTCCTCCCTCTTCCTCCCTCTCTCCCTGTTGAACATGTTTGCACTTGTTGCCTTTCTCGGCTTCCGTCGGCTCACGTAGCCCCAAGCGCCTCCAAGATCGCCCCACGGCGCCCCAAGAGGGCCTCAAGACGGCCCCAGAGAATCCTAGCACGGCCCTGGACGCCTCCCAATTCGGCCTAAGACGACCCCAAGACGGCAAAACCTGCCTCCAAATTGGTCCCAAGCTGGTGCAAGACGCCTCTGACCCAAAACCCATAACCCAGAGCCTTGTTTTTGTGCCCCCTTCCTCTCTCTCCTCCTCCTCCTCCTCCTCCTCCTCCTCCTCCTCCTCCTCCTCCTCCTCCTCCTCCTCCTCCTCCACCTCGGCCGCCAGGCGGGTTCAAAACTGCTTCCCAGAGGTCCCCGAGAAGCGTGCCGCGAGATCCCTATACACATACGAAAAGCCTCTAACCCATAGCACATATCCCAGAGTTTCGTCTCTGTGTCCCCGTCCTCCTCCCCCTCTCCTCCTCCTCTTCCACCTCCTCCTCGCCCACTCCTCCTCTTCCTCCCCCGCCTCATCCTCTTCCTCCCCGATTCTTCTCCCCCCATCCTCCGCCTCACCCCCCATCCCTCTCTCCCCCTCCCCCCTGTCCTCCCCCGCACGCGCGCCCCCGATTGGGCATCATTTGCAGGTCTTGCATATAAGGGTGCCTTTTTTTGCATCGCGTGCGACGTTGGAGGGGTCCCCGGAGAACGCCGACTTCGGTAGTCTTCTCTTGCACGCGCCGCCGCACTGATACGCCTGGCAACTGCGGGCTGTGATTCCGAGGTTCTTGCAGCCTCCGCACACCACTTTCGCTCCTTTCGCCGCTCGATGATCTTCCACTTGCTTATGCTTCAAATGTTTCGTGTCCGAGAACGCTTCTCCGCACGCCGCGCACGTCAGTGGCTTCGCGTATGCCTCGGCTTTCCGCTTGCGATTCGCTGCCTCCGCATTCCCCCGTCGCACCTCTTTCTCTCGTTCTCCCGCGCATTTCCGACAGAGCCTTTCCCCCACAGCATTGTGCTTCTTCTGAGTTTCCGACATATCCGCCTTTTTCGTCATATAGCGACAGGCACTTACCGTTCGTACATCGCACTGTTCCGACGCTCTGATTCCACTTCGCGCTGTCTTTCCGCGAGTTCTGTTTGGCTTTGTTACCGCTGCACTTCGCGCAGTACATGCCACCATGGCGCTGCCATGGTGGCATGTACATGCCACCGCGGAGGCCCGCAGTCAGGTAAAAATATAATCCCTTGAGACAGTGATGGCGACAACGACGACAATGATTATGACGAGGAAGATACCGATGATGATGATGATGATGCTTAGCATGATGATGGTGGTGATGCTAATGATGATGATGATGATGATGATGATGATGATGATGATGATGATGATGATGATGATGATGATGATGATGATGATGATGATGATGATGATGATGATGATGATGATGATGGTGACGGTAATGATGATGATGGTGGCGATGGCCTCGGGCTCGTAACGTGCCTGGACCTAGCAATGCGAAACAAACCGCGAACACCTTCTCGGTTCCCAAGCGTGTGAGACCCGTCCCCTCCACAGCCCCGAGGTTCCCCGTGCGGGCTCAGGGATGCCCCAAAAAACAACCCCGCCTCACCAAAGAAGTCAAACCCAGCAAGAAATATACGGGCCCCACTCCAACGCTTCCACCCTTTGGGCATCTCCAGAACGATGCCAAGATTGCATTAGCGTCTTTTCTTTTCCGATGGGCCCCCCAGGGCCTCGAGATGACCCCAAGCGGATTCCACATGGCCCCAAGAGAGGTCATTATGGACCCCTACACGACTCCCCAGCCCTCTTCAAGCGAGCCGGCAAGACCGCCAAGATGAGGGGTCGGCGGATGTGGCGTAAGCCTATAGAATCCTAGAGGGACCTTGGGCCAGGGGCACTTGTAGCAACACCCGATCTGGAGGCAGGACAATGCAGTCTCCGGTTCTTTCCCATCCAGCAGGAAGTGATGGAGAGCCCTGCCTGCCTGGCGCCCATTCCTTGCCGCTGCGCGGGGCCTGCCCCCCCTCGAGGAAGTCGTTCATGCGGCCAGGGCAGGCGATGATGGCGTGGACCCCGCGCCGGTACCTGAGCAGATGAGAGACAGCGGCGAAGACTCTTCACATCCTCGTCCTCCTCCTCCTCCTCCTCATGATCCTCCTCCTCCTCCTCCTTCCTCCTTCCTGCTTCCTCCTTCCTCCTTCCTCCTTCGTCCTTCGTCCTTCGTCCTTCCTCCTTCCTCCTTCCTCCTTCCTCCTTCCTCCTTCCTCCTTCCTCCTTCCTCCTTCCTCCTTCCTCCTTCCTCCTTCCTCCTCCTCCTCCTCCTGGCCCTCCTCCTCCTCCCTCCCCTCCTCCTCCTCCTCCTCCTCCTCCTCCTCCCAACTCCTCCTCATCCTCCTCCTCCTCCTCATCATCATCAGCAGCAGCAGCAGCAGGCAGCAGCATCATCATCATCATCAACATCATCATCATCATCATCACCACCACCACCACCACCACCTCCACCACCACCACCACCACCACCACCATCATCATCATCATCATCATCACCACCACCACCACCACCACCTCCACCACCACCACCACCACCACCATCGTCATCATCATCATCATCATCATCATCATCATCATCATCAACATCATCATCATCATCATCATCATCGTTGTCATCGTCATCATCATCATCATCATCATCGTCAGCATAATCAGAATCACCACCACCATCACCGCCAGAGCCCTCGTCGTAATTGTCATCGCAATCGTCATCGTCATGGTCATCGTAGTCATCATCATTAGCATCAGCATCATCAGCCTCATGGTCATCGTCATCAGCTTCATCATAATCATCATCATCATCAGTATCATCAGTATGATCAGCATCATCAGCATCATCATCATCATCATCAGCAGCATCATCATCATCATCATCATCATCATCATCATCATGGTCATCGTCATCATCATCATCATAATCGTCAATATCATCATCAGCAGCAGCATCATCAGCATAATCAGCATCATCATCATCTGAATCATCATCATCAGCAGCATCATCACCGGCATCAGCATGATCATCATCATCATCATCAGCATCATCATCATCGTCATCATAAGCATCACCATCATCATCAGAAGCAGAATATCAATCAGCATCAGCATCAGCATCAGTAGTATCAGCATCATCATCATCATCATCATCATCATCATCATCATCATAAACATCTGCATCATCATCATCGTCATCGTCATCGTCATCATCAGCCGCAGCAGCATCAGGATCATCCTCATCATCAACACCCTCATCATTATCATCATCATCATCATCATCATCATCATCATCATCATCATCATCATCATCATCATCATCATCATCATCATCATCATCATCATCATCATCGTCATCATCATCAGCAGCATCATCGGCATCAGCATCATCAGCAGCAGCAACATCAGCATCATCATCCTCATCCTCCTCCTCCTCATCCTCATCCTCCTCAGAAAGGTATCAGGAAAACCAGGGAACAGAGATGAAGACTACATGAAATAAAATAAAGAGGAAAATGTGAAAGAAGAGCAGAGCAGAAAAGAGATGACAACAGAAAGAGGAAGAGAAAGAGCGAATTAAACATGGAGAGGGAGAAAGCAGAGAGAGAGAGAGAACAAAAAAGAGCAACTAGAAAAAGAGAGAGAGAGACAGAGAAAAGAGAGAGAGAGAGAGAAAACAAAAGAGAGAGAGAGAGAGTCAAAAACAAAAAAAAACAAAATGATAGAGGGAGAGAGAGAGAGAGAGCAGCGTGTGCAACGCCAGCCACGGCCTTTGCCAAAGGTGACAGAGAGCGTAGAAACATCGGACTTTTCAAGCCAAAGCCAAATCCCACACACCAGCCCTGTGGGCGAAAGTGATTTAGCGCGTTTTCTCGTCCAACCCCCTTCTTCCCCTTCGGAGAGGGGGTTCAAATTGCTCACTATTTATAAACACCCTCTCCCTCACTCGAATGGCCGCCACGGAACCACGAGAAACCCCACATACAAACACAGAGACACACACGCACACACACATCCAATCCCTGACCAAAAAACGAGAATTACCAGGTGCACGTGGCGGCAATTCGCTGCTCCGTTGGAGGTTCCTCGGCGTGTGAGGTCCGCCACGGATCACCCTGGCACGTTGAGGCGTGGTAGAATGCCACGCGCTGTCTGCTAGGGTTTCTGCAATGTTCTTAAAGGACCCCCCATTCCCCACATAAAAATCATGGGTGGGGGAGGAGGAGGTGGGAGGAGGAGGTGGGAGGAGGAGGAGGAGGTGGCGCCCCCGCAGCCTGCGCAAGAGAAGGACGAGGAGGAGGAGGAGGAGGAGGAGGAGGAGGAGGAGGAGAAGGTGGTGCCAGGCCACGCTTCGCTGCATGCATCGCCCTCCCAAACTCCCGCATAAAAGCCAGGGGGCTGCGACCCTGGGGCCACGATCCTTCGTTAAAAAAAATAATGTCCGCAACAAGACTGCCTGCTCCCGGAACCACGATCACCATCCAAGAACAAAGGATCCGCCCTCGCGAGGCCACGACCCCTTGCGAAAGACACTGAGACCGCGCTCCCGAGCTTCCAAGAACGGGCAACCAGGGCCGGCCGATGGCCCAAGGTGCCTCCAAGACGGGCCAAGATGGCCCTCAGGCGGCCCAGGGTGGCTTCAAGACGGCTTAATAAGAGGCCCCCAAGACGCCGCAAGAGGGCTCCAGGAGGCCCCCCAAGAGGGTCCCAAGAGGCAAACATAAGTCATGTCCCTGAGGTTTTGAAGGCGTCTAGCATCCACGCCTTTTGGGGTTTCCGACGGTCGCCCACCCCCAAAGAGGGCCCAAGAGGGCCTCAACACGGCCCAAGAGACCCCGAAGACGACCCAAGAGGGCCCCATCAGGGGCCCAAGACGGGGAACTCGAACTGACATCTCGAGCAATCCGCCCCAAAATGACCCCCGAGACCACCAGCAGGCACCTAATAGGCCGCCCAGATGCCCCAGGCGGCCCCCAAGAGGCCCCAAAAAGCGGCCCAGCAGAGACCCCAAGAGGCACCTGACGGGCTCCAAGGCATGCCTAAATAGCCTCCAAGAGGCTTCCAAGAGGCCTCCCAGCAGATCCCCACAGGCATCCTATAGGCCTCTGACCTACAACCGAAATACGGTGGCGGAATGGGCCAATGGCCACTCGATTGATAGTGACGTTGACAGGTAGAGAGACACTGAGATCGATCGACTTTTTGGTAGTGGGGACGGATGATTGGTAGTGTGGACCGATGCATGGGAAGACACAAATCGAGTGACTGATAGTTTGCGAATCCGATACGACACCAGTCGCAAACCGAAAGCTGCAGCCACCACCACCCTCCTTATCACCCGCAGGGTGATCCGATCGGCTTGTGCCATTGGCAACTCACCGCATCCCAAATCCCACCAGCCCTTTGGGCGACGGGTGGTCTGAAGTTGATATCTTCTTTCTTCGACAACCCCTCTTCCCTTAGGGGAGGGGAACCCTCCCCCTCCCCTCCCCCTCCCTGAAGCTTTTTGGGAGGTTTCGCGAGGTGTCGGAGACTCCTTTCTCGGCCAGTGGGAAGGCCAATGTTTGGCACCCCTCACGAGGGTCGTGGCCCCTGAGGGGGGACGCACATCGAGGATCCCCCTCTTTTGACCGGCCACCTCCAAGATCACCCCAAGAGGCCTTCCAGGACTCCCCAGAGGCCCCCCCAGAGGGTCCCACGAGCGCCCCGAGAGGGCCCAAGAGTGCTCCAAGGGGCCCCCGAGAGGCCCCGAAGAGGCCCCCCCCCGAGTGGCCCCCTAAGCGGCCTCAGAGAGCCCAAGATGACCTCCAAGATGGCTCAAGATATGTAGTCCAAGCTGACTCCAAATGGTCCCGAAATGCCCCAAGAGGCCCCACCACCGCTCCAAGACCGCTCAAGAGGACCACGGAGCCTGGCGGCCGCCAAGAGGCCAACACCCTTCAAAAACCGGAAGAAGTTTGATGACGTTGGCCTTCTCGCCGTTTTGCTTTCGATGGCCCTCCGAGGCCCCAAGATGGCTCCAAGATGGTCCAAGAGGGCCCCAAGAAAGGCCCCAGAGAGCACCAAGACGGCCCGAAGAGCGCCCAAGAGCGCCCCAAGAGCGCCCCAAGATGGGCCCAAGAGGCGATGTTAGGGGCTCCCTAGGGGGAAAGCGATCTCACCAGCCCTTTGGGCGACGGGTGGTCTGAAGGTGATCTCTTCTTCTTCCACAACCCCTCTTCCCTTCGGGGAGGGGAACCCTCCCCCTCCCCTCCCTGAAGCTTTCTGGGAGGTTTCGCGAGATGTCGGAGGCTCCTTATTCGGCCAGTGGGAGGGCCATTTTGTTACACCGCTCACGAGGATCATGGCCCCCGAGGGGGGAACGCACATCGAGGACCCCCCCTCTTTTGGCCGACCGCCTCCAAGATGACCCCAAGAGGCCAAGGCCCCAAGAGAGCTCCAAGAGGCCCTCGAGAGACCCCCAGGACGCCCCTGGTAGCGGCCTCGGAGCCCAAGATGACCTCCAAGATGGCTCAAGATGGCCCAAGCTGGCGCAAGATGGCTCCCAAGATGCTCCAAGGGGCCCCAAGACCGCTCCAAGACGGCTCGAGATGGCCAGCCCATTCAGACGTCCCAGGGCTTCTGAATGGGCTGACTATGCGTGTCTCTTCCTCTCCCCCTGTCGGCTCTCATGGGCATCGTTTCTGGATGGGCTGGTGGGTATACCTTTTAGTCGGCAGCCGCGGGCGAGAGCGCCAGCGTCGAGTCAGGGTCCGAGCGGGGCGCGCGAGGGCCTAATTAATCTGAAGCAAGCCTAACACAGCCACTCAAACCAGGAAGACGAAGAAGGAGGCGAGGCTGAATTATCATACGGAACTTATTTCATCATTTCCGACATCGGAAACCAATCGGGACACAGTCAACAAAGGACCGACAAACGGTCGGGACACCATGGAGGCAAAATCGAACAATACGGGAAGATAAGCGAGGCCACCACGAAACGGCACCTTCGGGACACCTGGGACGCCACGGCACTGCACATGCCGGGAGCGGGACCCCGGCAGGACAGCATCGGAGCACCGTCGGGATACCCCCGCACCGCCTCCGAAGGCTGCAGCGGCCGCAGGACATGGTGTCCAAAAAACGGGGCCGGGTGCATCGGCACTCGCGCACAGCCTTGCTCGCGCGGCGTCACGACAGAAGCATGCAGCTTGGACTGATGATCCAGCAGTGTTGGCACTGGCGAGAGTGGTTGTCACAGGAGCCCTTTGGTATGTTGAGAGCACTGCACTGACTAACGCCAAAAACTCCTGCCGTATCGACACGGTTGACGAAGTAGACCTACACTGGCACGCATCCCCCATCTAGTTTCCAAGTGGCGGCGGCGACACGAAAGCTGCCGCACCCTCAACCTCCAACTCTCTGAGACCTCCTGGCGCCCTGCCCGCTACCGACCGACTGCTGGCTGGCAGCAGCGCCGCACGACGGGCGCGAGGCCCGCCGGGAGATGCTGCCAGCGGCGGCTCGGCCCGCGCATCGCGGGAGGGGCGGGGCGAGGCGCTGGTTGACCTGCTCGTACTTCGGGCTTCCGCCGTACATGGCGACCTGCCCCGCCCAGCAGAGAGGAGCATGGCAGCAGCAGGAGCCATGGTGGCGCTCTCCAGGAGGGAGGTCCGCTGGGAACCGCTGAACTGCACGGACTGCCCGCCCATCTCGGCATCGAAGGGGAGCATCAGCGGCAGCAGGAAGGCATCGGAGCGGCAGCAGGAGCAGCACTGGGGATGGCCTGATAAGACGTACCGCCCCCACGCAGCTGCGTCAGGCCAACTCCGTCGACTTCTGTTTCACCGAAGCAACAGGGCCCCCTCTTGTGCGAATGCCGATGGGGCAGGAACACAAGACTGGCGGAGGAGGGGGAGAGAGAGAGGGGGGGAGAAGCGGAGGAAACACACTAAGATATTGAAGATGTAGAGGGAAAATATGATTCCTTTCCTCCGTTTGGTTTCCGCCGTCTCTGGCGCGCGCTCATAGGAAACACATGTGTATACAGATATACACATGCATAGATACATGGATACACGAATAAATCAATCGCGTGAATGCTTCGTCCCCGCCCGCCTCCTCTACCCTCACTGCAAGTCCCCCTTTCCTCTCTTCCCTGTACTGGTACTGGTGGGGGGTCCAGTGGGCTCACGGCGACGAGGGGCAACACACCACAAGGCAGGCGCTTCCACCACGCTACCGCAGCACCGAAGCCCTCCCAGAACAGCCCATGCGACGCGCGTCACCGCAAGCACGGACCGGCACAACGGATGTGGATGAAAAGCGCGGTCACGAAACATCAGATGCTGGCAGGGGGGCATTGTCCAGATCACGGCGAACTTTGCGAGCACAACCACGACTAATGTCAGACCGAGATCAACACAAGCATCCGTCGCACGAGCTCGCAACCACAACAAATCCAATCGTAGCACGAGCACCAGGCAAGCAAAAAAAAACAGCAATCATGCTGAGTCTGTTCGCTTCCATATGCCGTGTCATTCCACATGTCTATCCCGAACAGTCGATACTCGCCCCCTTCGTCTTCGATCGTCCCCCATTGGGGGTATATCTTCCTTACCTGCCACGTGTAATTGGTGCGGCCCCTAAAACAGGAGAAGAGAAGACGGATGGAAGGGGGAAGGCGAAGGATGGAGCACGAGAGAGATTGGCTGGAGGGGGGCTAGGAGCAGAAAACACGTGGCAGAACCAAACAGGCAGATCGGGCGGGTAGACCCTAACGGGCGGGTCGTGAAGGCGGGCCCAGGCGGCCAGGTCGAGCAGGCGGGTTGCTGAAGCGTGAATATTGCATGAATCGTGAGGAGGTCTCGAGCGATAGCGCGATTCTCAAGAAAATCGTGAGAAAAGCCAGAGCGCGAGAGCGATTCCTTAGTGTCGAGGGCGCGGCGTCTGAATAAATTGACAGGAAATCCCACACCAGAGCGCGATTCCTGCATAACTTGTGAAGAAGTCCCGCGCGACAGCGCGATTGTGAAATAAACTGTGAGGAGGTATCAGACGGGAGCCTCTGCTGCTGTTGTTGTAATCTGGGGGCCAACAAGACGGTCTGAGGGGGAAGACTCAACACGGAGATCCCAAATACTGGATACCCAACCTCTTCGTCTTCGATCGTACCCCTTTGGAGGTATGTTCCTTATTTGCCAATTTGTATGTGGCGCAGCCCCTAAAACAGAAAACGGTCGCACGGATGGAAGCAAGGGACAAAGGGGAGGGAGAAGGATGGAGCAAGAGAGAGACTGGCTGGAGGGGGGCCAGGAGCACAAAACACGTGGCAGAACCCGACGGGCAGGTACCACGCAAGAGAGCGATTCCTGCATACATTGCGAGGAAGTCCTGCGCGAGAGCGCGACTGTAGAATGCATTGTAAGGAGAGCCCTAACCCCCCTCTGGATTCGCACCACATCCGTCGACCACTCCCAACCAAGCCTCTGGGCCTCAAAACCGTACGAAAATCCAGGATTTGGGCATATCCGGCCTCTTGGGGGGGCCCGAGGGGGCCAAGACGGCCCCAAGGCGGACCAAGATGGCCCCCAGGGATGCCGAGGTCTAGTCTGAGCCACTGCAGCACATACCCCAGGCTGGACGGCGAGGCAAGGGGTAAGAGGCAGAAAAGAGGAGGAGGGAAGAGAGGAGGAGGGCGGCGGGAGGAAGAAGGACTGGAAACCAGAGCGCGCTATTCAAAACCAGAACCCAATGCAGGAGTGGTGTGAACAAAACAGACACTCAAAAATTTATTTTTATTATTTTTAACTTGGAAAAAAAACAAAAACAAAAAAAAAAAAAAAAAAAAAAAAAAAAAAAAAAAAAAAAAAAAAAAAAAAAAACTCGTCAAGAAACCCAATTATCATCTCACGACGCGACGCATCCCCGTTGATCCTGCATGCGCCTAGTGCAACTGCTAATAATGCTACTACTGATACTGCGAGTGCCGCTGTGTCATTCGACGAGGCGTTCACGCATGTGCGCATGCACGCATCACACATGCCTTCGCGCACCCGTGAAAGAAACTGTCCGCGATGCTTGCCCCCCGACCTCTCCCGACTGGCATTTCAAACCCACTGGCTGTGGCAGATGATAGGGACGGCCGAAACCCCCAAGGAGAAGTGGCCAGAGGGCAAGGAAGGATCAGAAACAGTGAGAGCATGAGGGAGTGGGGGGAAGGAGGACGAGTTGCCGTTTGTGCGCGAACCCAGGGCAGGGATGAGGGCGAAGAGAGTGAAGGAGAAGCATGCGCACTCCCCTGGTCCGACGGTGTTCATGTTGATACATCTGCCGAAGCGCTTGGCCTCCGCCTCGCAGGAAGTGGCGGCACGCCAGAGGCGGAGGCAAGCGGAGGACGCCGATCAGAGTAGGCCACAAATGTCCTCCTCCATCCCTCGCCTCCGTCGTTCTCTTTCTCCTCCTCCTCCTCCGAGAACAATGTTTTGGCATGCTTCCGGGTCTTCAAACGGATGTCTTCCAACGAGGCAGATCCCTCAATGAAAATGAACTGTTTTAGGGGCCTATGAAGAGGAAGCTTGGAGGGAGGGTGTATTCCAACATCACTGATGGCTCTTGGATTTACACTGGTCCTCCTCCTCCTCCACCTCCCCCTCCTCCTCCTCCTCCTCCTCCTCCTCATCCTCATCCTCCTCCTCCTCCTCCCCTCCTCCCCTCCTCCTCCTCCTCCTCCCCTCCTCTCCTCCTCCTCCTCCTCCTCCTCCTCTCCTCCTCCTCCTCCTCCTTCCGAGTCCTCCTCCTCCTCTTCCTCATCCTCCTCCTCCTCCTCCGCTTCCTCTTCCTCCTCCTCCTCCTTCTCCTTCTCTACCGGAGTGGCTATGGGCTGCATGGGCTGCTTCAGGTTTCCGTATAGTCGCAAGGCGACGCCCAGTGGTGTTGCTAGCACCCTCACGTGGTGTAACGTCAACGGCTTGCCAGGGCCAACTGAACTGAACTCCTCCTCCTCCACCTCCTTCTCCTCCTCCTCCGCCTCCTCCTCCCTCACTTTCCTCCTCTCCCCCTTCTCCAAAGCCCATCGGCTAGTCAATCGTCAGCGTTTTGTGTCCGTTATTCCTCATCCCCCCTCTTGTTCATGGCCGCCGCTGGCCAATCATGGTGGCAACGCCTCATGACGCACCCCAGGGGCAGTACAGACCGCAAACGGACCGCGCCGGGGAAGGGGTGCGAGATGGGGGCGCGTCGCCAGCTCAGGAGATCCTCGCAGATCTCCAAAAGTCTCTGTCTTGTGCGCTTACTTGTCTTCGGTTCCGTGCCCCTTCTCCGCCTCTCGGCTTCCTGGCCTGTCTTTTGCTGTCGGCGGCGGCGTTGCCAGCGTCGTCGGCGACGATGCGGCGCTGCGCGCTGCGACCATCTCGCCGTCTCCATGTAGTTTTACCAACAGCACAGCACGTTTACATTTGTTCTCGCGGATGCCGTCTTCATCGTTGTCGTCGGCGTCGCCACCGTCGCCGCGGCCTCTTGTTGGCGTCGGCGTCGGCGTCTGCGTCGGCTTCGTCGGCGCAGTCTCTTGTTATCGTCGTCGTCGGCGTTTGCGGCGGCGAGGGGGTTGCAGAAGGATGAAGAGAAAGGAAGGAAGGAAGGAAGGAAGGAAGGAAGGAAGGAAGGAAGGAAGGAAGGGGAGGAGGAAGAGGGGAAAGAAGAGGAAGAGGGCAAAATGGAGGAGGAAGCAGAGAGTACCTTTCCCTCCTCCTTCCTCCTTATTCATCCTCTTCCTTCCTGCTGTATCAACCTCCCTTTTCCTCCTTCCCTCCCTCCTCCCTTCCTCGTCCTCCTTGTCTTCCTTGTCCTCCTCCTCATTCTCGTGTTTCCTGCTCCTCCTCCGCCTCCTCCACTCGGGCCTCCTCCCCCTCCCCCTCCACTTGGGCCTCCTCCTCCTCCTCTCGGCCCTCATCCTCCTTCTCCTCCTCCTCCTCCTCCTCCTCCTCCTCCTCCTCCTCCTCCTCCTCCTCCTCGGGCCTCGATCTGCTGCGCCAGCTCCCGCGTCGGCGACAGGACGAGCAGGCCGACTCCGTTGCGCAGCCTCCGCCAGGTGGGGCGAGGGCGGGACCCTCCCTCCCTCCCTCCCCTCCCTTCCCCAATCCCTCCCTCCATCCCCCTCTCTCCCTCCCCCCCCTCCCCCCCTCCCTCCCTCTCTCCCTCCCTCCCTCCATCCATCCCATCCCATCCCATCCCCTCCCATCCCCCCCATCCCCTCCCTCCCTCCCTCCCTTCCCCTGCCTCCCTCCCCCCCCCCCCCCTCACGCCCTCCCTCCGTCCCTCCCCCCCTCCTTTCCCCTGCCTCCCTCTCCCTCCCTCCCTCCCTCCCTCCCTCCTCCCTATCCCTCCCTCCCTCCCTTCCCTCTCTCCATCCCTCCCTTTCCGTCTCTCCCTCCCTCCCTCCCCCTGCCTTCCTCCCCTTCCCTACCCCCCTCCCCCCCTCCCCCCCACCCTTCCTCCAGTCACCCCTCCATCCCTCCCCCATGTTCACTGAGTGCTCAAGAAACTTGGGTTCGGGCAGTTGGCGCCTGCGCGCTGGGCCTCTGCGGTTCCACGCAGCGTTTGAGCGGCTCGTCCCTTGGTGACCGCCACACCACTAGGGCTCCCACAAAGACAGGGGCACTCGTTCCATAGTTCTCAACCACATCCTAAGTGGGGTTCATGTTTTCTCTGGACCCCCCGCACTGTCCCCCCACACCCTCTCCTCTTCACACCCCCTCCTCCCATCGTCATCATCATCAACATCATCATCATCATCATCATCATCATCATCATCATCATCATCATCATAATCATCATCATCATCATCATCATCATCAGCAGCATCATCATCATCATCATCATCATCATCAGCATCATCATCATCATCATCATCATCATCATCATCATCACCATCACCATCAACATTACCATCATCAACATCATCATCATCATCATCATCATCATCATCAGCATCAGCATCAGTATGATCATCATCAGCATCATCATCATCATCATCAGCATAAACACCATCAGCATCATCAACAACAACAGACCGGCATACAGCGACAACAACAACAACCACAACAACATCATCATCAGCAGCATCATCATCACTATCATCATCATCATCATCATCATCATCATCATCATCATCATCATCATCATCAGCATCAGCATCATTGTCATCATCATCAGCAGCAGCATCATCATCGTCATCATCATAATCAGCATCATCATCATCATCAGCAGCAGCATCATCACCATCAGCATCAGCATGATCAGCATCATCAGCATCAGCATCAGCAGCATCATCATCAGCATCAGCATCACCATCATCAGCATCAGCAACATCATCATCATCATCAACATCATCAGCAGCAGCAGCATCTCATCATCAGCATCGTCAGCATCATCAGCATCGCCATCACATCAGCAGCAGCAGCAGTACGACCATCACCCGCGAGCCCCGGGCTCCTTCCTCCCAGGGTACGAACCCTGCCCGCATGACCCGTTGACCAACTTCTTTGCTCCCCCCCCCCCAAGGAACAAAGAACCAAGCCATAAAAAAAAGATAAAAGACATGTTTAGCATGTGTTGGGTATCCTTGAGACAACCAACGCATTCCAGGAAGCTGAAACCATGTGCGTGCTAGCGCGCCTCCGAATCCCCTAGGAATCCTATGACTTCTTAGTAAGCCCCAGGACTCCATAGGAATCCCTTAGGTATCCCTAATCCATAGGAAGCCCGCGGGAAACTTCGGAATCCATAGGAATCCGATGGAAATCCTAAAAATCCGTAGGGATCCATCGGAATCCCACGGGAATCCTGGCAATCCCTAGGAATCCATAGGAATCCATAGGGGATCCTAGGAATCCCTACGGACCCTAGGATTGCCCAGGAATCCGAGGGAGCCCCTCGGAATACATAGGGACTCTCAGGAACCATTCACAATGTGTAGAAACTCTCCGGAATCCATAGGAATACGTAATGATTCTTAGGAACCCGTGGGAGCATGTAGGGACTATTAAGAATCCCTGGGGATCTGTGGAGATTCCAAGGATTCCTATGAATCTGTAGGGATTCATCGGAATCCGTAGGACCCTGTAGGAATTCTTAGGAACCCCAGGGAATCCTTAGCGATCCGTGGGGCTCACCAGGAAAATGTACGGATCCCTACGGATCCCTAGGAATATGTAAGGATTCTTAGAAATATATAGGAATATGCCGGGATTCGCAGGAATCCCTGAGAATGTGTAGGGATTGTCATGGAGCCCTGGGAATATGGAAGGATTGTTCTGGACCCCTAGGAATATGGAGGTACGTTTAAAAACTCATCGGACTATGTAAGGGTTCTTATGGGGGCCCTAAGAATATGCAGGGATGCTCTAAAATTCCATAGGAACATGTAAGGATCCTTCCGCATCCAAAAGAAGATGTTGGAATTCTGAAAACTCCCAAGGAATATGTGGTGACCTGCGGGAATCCCGAGGGGATCCTAAGAATCATAATGGAATCCTACGAACCCCTAAGGAATCCTCAGAATCATCGGGGAAACCTAGGAATCCGGAAAGAATCTCAAAAATCCTGCAGGAATCCTAGGAATCCTGAAGGAATCGTCAGAATCTCGAAGGAACCCAAGGAACCCCAAGGAACCCCAAAGGAATCCAAAGGAAATCTTAAGAAATCTCTCGGGGACCCGAGAAATCACTATAGAACCATAGCATCTTCGGAGGATTCCTAAGAATCTCTATGGAATCCTAGGAAGCCTAAGGAATAGACTCTGGAATCCTGGGAATCCCTAGGGAATCGTCGGAATCCCGACGGAATCCACATGAACCCTGGGAGCCCCTGGGGAACCCTAGGAATTCATGGAATCTCTACGGAAAACATGGAACAGAAATCGTCAACATGCCTTCGGTTTCATTGAAGCAACCAACGCACACCAGGGAGCTGAAACCATGTGCGCGCTAGCACGCCTCCGACCCCCTAGGATCCCCTAGGAATCCCTAGGAATCCATCAAAATCCTTAGGATTTCATGGAAATCTGATGACTCCGTAGGAATCACCCATAAGAATCCCGCGGGAATCCTAGGGAATCCTAAGAACCCATCGGAATCCCCAGGGAACCCTAAGAACCCCCAGGAATCCATAGGAATCCTTAGGGGATCCGAGGAATCCCTCAGGGATCCTAGGAGCCCGCAGGAATACAAGGGAATCCGTCGGAATTCCTGGTAACCCCCAAGGAATCTTAGGAATATTAAGGAATCTGCGGGGGTCCTAAGGAATACATAGGAACCCATAGGGAATCCTAAAAATCCGTGGGGGATCTTAGGAATCCTTGGGGATCCACAGGAGTCCTAGGAAATCCAGAGGAATCCCTGGGGAATCCTAAGGATCCTGAGGAACACATTGGAATCCCAGTGGGATCCTAGGAATCCATTGGAATCCTTCGGAATCCTTAGGAATCCTTAGGAATCGCTTGGAATACATAAGAATCCCGAGTGAATCCTGGGAACCAGAGGGATCCTTCGGATCCGACGGAATCCATAGGAATACATAGGAATCCTTCGGGAATCCGAAGAAACCTCCGAACCGAAGGGATACATCGCAATCCCTAGGGGACCCTAGGAATCTGACGGAATCTTAAGAATCCGTGGGAACCCAAAAAGACCCCATCGGAACCCATGAGGAATATCATGACTCCTTGGGAATACATAGGAATCCCTTGGAAATAATGGGAACCCTCGGGAATACATAAGAATCCCTGGGAGATCCTAGGAATCCTAAGGAACCCATCGGAATCCAAGGAATCCATGGGAATCTCTGGGAAATCTTGGGGATCCCATGACCCCCTAGGAATTACCAGGAATCCATAATAATCCCTTGGGAACCCTGGGAATCCCTAGGGAGTCCCGAAGGAATCCAATGGGAATCCCCAAGGAAATCCTTATGGAATCCTGGGAATACATCGCTGGGAATCCCAAAAGAGAAGAAGAAAAAGAAGAAAAAAAAAAAAAAAAAAAAAAAAAAACGCATGACCCCATAGGAATCCATCGGGAATCCTAGGAACCCAAGGCATCCGATTGAATACATTGGACTTCCTGGGGGAGCCTCGGAATCTTAAAGAATCCCAAGAATCCTATGGAATCCACCGGAATCCCCAGGGAATCTTGGGAATCCTGAAACCATCGGATTTCCTGGAAATCCTGTGGCCCCTGAGGAACCCCATTGGAATCCTCAGGGAATCATAAGAAGGAAATCAGGGGAATCCCACCGGATCCCTACGGAATCCCATGGATCCCTGTGGAATTATTAAAGATTCCATGGAATCCCGTAGGATCCCGATGGAATCCCACAGGAGCGCCGCCGGGGGCGGGGAGGGTTCTGTGAGTTCTTCGGGGGGAGGGGGGGGGGGGGGCGCGCCATGACTTGCGCCATGGCTTGCGCCAGCCAGTCCAACACAGGTTAATACTAAGTTTCGACATGGGTCGCGCCATAAACAGCGCCACGTACCACCCCCTTCAAAGAACACATCGTGGATATTCCCACGGGGGAACGTACAGCTGCGAACTGGTGTCAGAAACAAATCTCGTGGAACCCAGAAAAGAAGCGGGATGTTGGGAGAGCGGGGCGGAAAGATAGTGAGAACTGCAACCGTGTCGAGAAGAGCGCGGGGATGTGGAGTGGATTGGGATGGAGCGGACAAGAGTAGGGTCTCAGGAGGAGGAGCGGCAAGGAGTGGAGAAGAGGAATCCGGAGGAGTGCGGAGGAGCGGGGGGCGCAGCGGTGCCACTGACCGCAGAAACTGGACCACGAAGGGCAGCGAGGTGGCCACGAATGGCGGCAGCGGGGCGACGAAACGCACGCGTATGGGACCACGAAGGGCGCGAGCGAGCGGGGGCCACGAAGGGCAATTAATCTGGGGCCATAGAGGGCAGCGACGGGGCCGCTGAGGGCAGAAACGGTGCCACGAAGGGCAGAGAGGGGACCACGAAGGGCGACAGCGGGGCCACGAAGGGCATGCATATGGGGCCACGACGGGCGAGAACGAGCGGGGGCCAC